AGAGAGAGAGAGAGAGAGAGAGAGAGAGAGAAAGAGAGCTGATAAGATTTATATATCGATAAGGATATTGCTAATCACTTCATGAACAATTGCAAAATACCTCTCCTTCACTGCCACCATTTTCCTTGAGGCTCTTAATTTCTGCATCTTTGTCCTTAATCATCTGCCCTAGCTGTTTGGCAAGCTGGTCACGCTTTTCTCTGAACTCCTGTATGATAAGATAGATTGGAGCACAATGTGAACCGGTTTTGAAACCACACTCTAATGTCAAACAATCATCATAAGCAAGTTCAACTGTTGTGTTTAAATTGCTCCGAGCACCAGGTTGTGGAACTAGTCAGAAGGGACACACAACCACCTGTGTTACTTCTAACTGTGATTCACACATAAATTTTGCCACCGTAAAAAGACAAAAATTCACATATCAAAATCTCTCTGACCCACTGAATTAAATACAAGTCATACCTTGAGTTCAGCCTGTTTCTTCTCTTCTGCAGAAGCCAGCTCCTTGTGCAGTTTATCAAGTTCTCTTTGCATTTCACTGATGGCATCCTCCTTAATCTAAAATTATATAAATAAATAAACAATCAAACAAACAAATAAATAAACACTGTTTGTACTACATAAATTCTCAAATGCTACAACATATACATCCCATTTTCAATTTGGACATATACACATTTTAAGAATTATCTACCATTTCCATCTTTTTTCCTCTCACTGACCTTGACCTGCATACTAAGTTGCCGAACCTCCTTGCTGGCATCGTTTGCCTTCTGCTTCGTCTTCTCCAGGTTCTCCTGAATGGACTGCTTTGCCCCTAAGGTGGCCTTGTCCACTGCTTGCTGGACAACTTTCTCCTGGTCAAATTTCAGGGTCTCCAACTGCTGACGGGTGTCTGGAATGTCAAAGAGATCTGTGATCACAAATTCATTGTAAACTTAACTGCACCAGTTAAACAATGACAAAATTGCTTTCTAATATAAAAAATTATCCACTCATGTTTAACCAGGAGAAAATGTTAGGATTCTTTTTTCAAATAAATTACACTGAAACAATAACCTGATATGCTGAGGGTAATTTATGAGTATTTATTATATGAACAATGTATCATTTACCTGAAAGCAGTTTCTCCATTTCTCTCAGCTCCTGCTCATTCTCCTTGAGTACTCTGTCCATCCTGGCCTTCTCAGTCTCCATCTTGGTCAGCTTGCTGGCCTGGCCTTCCACCTGCTTCATCAGGCCCGTCTTGATCTCGTCCAGTGTCTTCTTCTCCGTCTCCAAGTCCCGGTACAGCTGCTGCCAGTTGTCAGACTCCTTGCTGGAGGTACGTTTACTGGACTGCAGCTCAGAGTGCCTTTCCCTGAGCTCTTCTAGTTCTGAGACAAAAAATTAAAGAGGGAAATTTATTTAAATGTGATCAACTTGACATAATATTATACCTTGCACCTCTTGTATTGAACCTAAATAGACAGCCACAGCAAAACGTTGACAGCTTATTACTAATAAACTAACCAAAAAAGAAGAAATATATATTTCACATCAATATTTGAACGCATATTTTAAAATTAAAGACGTATTTCTGTACCTCACTTCTAAATTTTTATGAAAGGTAAGAATGATCATTCAAAGCTGCAAAATAATACCTAGCACAAGCACACATGACTCACCTTGAGAGAGGTCCCCAATCTGTTTTTCCCTACTGTTCAGCACCTTGTCTTGTTGCTCCATTACGCTCTCCTGTTCTGCAAGGGCCTCCTTCAGAGTCTCTATAAGCATTTCATTTGATTTGGCATCTGAAAAGACAACAAGAAATCATTGAAAAAAGTTATCCTAAAGAATTATGACAGATACTAAAATTGGCCTGTAAAAATTTAGATAAAAATGCACAGCTGGTGTTTTTATCTTTCACTGTAGGTGCACCTCTAATTAATACACACAAAAAGGAAATATGTTTAGCAAAATAATAGAAGTTGTTCATATATATCCAACGGGTAATGTTCTCACCTTTAAGAGCCAATTCAAAGCTGTTCCGCTCAGTCTCAATCTTGGTCCAGAGCTCGGAGATAGTTTTGTTCTTGTTCTCAATTTTCTGGTCTCTGTTTCTCAGCTCTTGGTGCAACTCTTCAACTTCCTTGCCCTTGGCAGACAGGGCCTCCGCGTGTTCCTTCAGGATTTTCTGCTGGCTGGCTGACTCCTTCTGTAAGAAAGTTCAAACACTTTTAAAAAGCACATTCCATACAGCATTTCAGTACACTAACAAACAGTCAACTGGATAATTATTTTCATTTTTTAAAATATCTTATCCAATTTGCTACTTGACAAACCAATTTGTGCCATGGTCACCCTGTGTTCAAGTAATTACAATGGAAAACAACTTATTAAAAAAAATTAACTCAAAGAGTGCAGTATTCTGCTTTATGCTTTGATTATTTGGTTATAAAGCCGAAAGAAATTGGTAATATGGAAAAGCTAACCATTCTACAATAGTTCACAAGCATAGTAAGAGTACTTTGAGAGAGTTTCCACTAATGCCACCACCAAGGATCACACTGCGAGTGAGACAGAAAAGAAAGTTTACATTAATAGTGAAAGCAGCGGAAAGAATTATATGTGTGCCGCACACCTCTAGCCTAGCACAAGCAGCTGAATTCTCCTGTTGTTTCCTCTCGTACTCCAGCAGGCTCTGGTTGGCGCTAAGGAGCTGGTCCTCCAGCAGGTTGTACTTGCAGTTCTGCTCTTCCATGGAGCGTGATGCCTCCTGGAGCTGACTCCGCAGGGTAGCCTCTCTCTCCTGGCACTGCAGCACACACACAAAACAGCAGCAGCAGCAGTATTAATACAGGTGGCTAGGTGCACTGCAGTCCACATTCTACATATGCTACTAAATCACTCACTTGATTTCTTTTCTTGTGTTATTAAGATCTTACTTTGCTTTCAAAACTCTGTCTCTCTCTCTCTCTCTCTCTCTCTCTCTCTCACACACACACATCCAAACACAGCATTAGTCAAAACCAGTCTTTTCAACCTTTCAGTGTGCTCCAAATGTTAGCATTCTGTAATTCTTGTTGCTCTTGCACAAGGACAGCATCCAGGCCCAAAATCAGTTTCTTGGATTTTTCTTTCATTAGTTGACATTCAGAAAGTCTAAAGAAAGCTAAAAAGGTCACGTATATGGTCAGCACACTATTTTAAAACTGAAATTCCTTACCTTCTTCAGGTCTTCCAGCAGCTCATCAACCTTCTTCTTTGACTCCTCCAGTTTAGAATAGTCCTCCCTCAGCTGAGTGGTGGACTCTTTCTTAGCCTGCAGTTCCTGTTGGAGCGTCTCCAAGTTCTGCTTGGCTGTCGTCTCGTGTTCAGTGGCTACCTTTACCTGGAACAACATGTAACAAATCATTTTTAACACTAAATCAACTCCTTTACTAGGTTCTTGGTTCTGCTTATAAAATCCAGGAGACAATTGTGAATTAAGTTCAATGTACAAAGCTATTGAATATCCACTCATCCTTTATGTCCAACCAGATACAGAATAGAATTTAAACAGCAATTTAAACAGCAACTTTAGCTGTAATCCTAATGGACACGATCATAATTTCCTTCAAACTCTCACCTGGTCATGTAATATGGCCGTCTCATTTTTGAGCAGGTCAATTTGCTTCTGGTATTTTTGCACAGAGTCCTCTCTGCTACTGAGTTCATCCTGGTACTTCTGCTCCAGTCCCTCTATCTTTGCAGTCTTCTCCTCCACCTCCTGCTTAAGTCTGGCAACTTCAGCGTTCAGGTTGGAGACGTGGTCGCTCTCTTCTTCAGAGTCATCCTTCAATCTGACATTTTCTTGTCTGAGCGCGGTCAGAGTGTCTCTCAAAGTGGCCACTTTTGTTTCAGAGTTCTGTAGCTTGGTTTCGTTTTCTTGTAAATCATGTTCCAGTTTTGCGAGTTGGTTATTCAGTTCCTGTATGGCACTTTCTTTGTTTCTGAGTTCTTCATTTTCTGAGGAGATTCTGGACTCCAGGGCTGACTGCAACTCCTCCTCCAATTTAGTTTTTTCTTGTAAAGTCTTTTCACACCTTTGTGAAATGTCTGCCATTTCAGATTTCATTAAATCATACTGTTCATTTGCTTTGAAAAGCTTATCTGCATTTTCATTTTTCTCTTTCTCAAGTCGTTCAATCTCTTTCAGCAAATTACCCTCAAGTTCCGATGAACTTGCCTTGAACTGTTGGAGTGTTTTATCATTTTCTTCCTTTTCTGATGTAACTTTGTCCAATTTTTCCTTAGTCTCACTTTGCTCTGCATTTTTTGTTTTTAACTCTGACATAGCTTCCTCTAATTTCATCTTATTCTCATTCAGCTCTGCAGTTTTTATTTTTAATTCTGACATAACTTCCTCCAACTTCTCTTTACTATCATTCAGCTCTTCAGTTTTTGTTTTCAACTCTGCCTCAAGCTGAGCTGCAGACTGCCGCACAGCATCCAAATTTGACTGCACCTCTTTTAACCTCTCTTCCACCTTGGCATGCTCTTTCTGAAGTTGAGCATTTGAAGATTTTGTCAGTCGCCATTCTTCGTTACTTTTCTGCAAATCCTCCACACTCTTCCTCAACTCAGAAACTTTCTCTTCAGCCGCCGAGCAGTCTCTGGTTTTAGCATCCAGTTCTCCCTGCAGTTCTTTCGCCCTTTGCCTCAGTGTTTCCGTCTCCCTCTCCGTGTCCTGGAGTCTGGAAGCCAAGGCATCCAGTGCCTGGACCTTGGCCCTGTGGCCCTCAGTCAGCTCCTCCAGCTTCCTCTGCATGTCCTGCTCCTTCTCCACATGGTGCCTCACACTGGCCTTGGACGCCTCCAGATCTCCCTCCAGGTCCTCGATCTGAGAACTTAGGGCCGCAGTCTTGCTCTCCAGCTGCTCCCGCGATGCCTTCAGTTCCTTTTCCCTCTCTGCCAGCTGAGACTTGAGTGTTTTTATCTCGGCAGTTCTTTCCTCACTGACGTCTTCATTCTCAGTGGCAATATCTAAAGACATTTTCAAACCTGCAATTTTGGTCTGTGCTTCTTCGTACAGTTTTTCATATCTTTCATTTTCTTTTTCAAGATGGCACAATTTCTCAGATGTCTCACAGTGGACCCTTCTTTCTTTTTCCTGCACCCCTTCAAGTTTTTCAATCTGCAGTTGCAAGTCTATTATCTTTTTTCTTTCTTTTTCTTGCTCTTTCAGTACGTCATCATATTTGCACTTTAATGATGTCACTTCTTTCTCCTGCTTTGCGCAGTGACCATTGCTGTCTTCTAATGCAACAAGCTCTTTCTCAAGCTGTTTGATTTTAGCTTCCTGCTGTTGGTTTGAAGTCGACATTGTAGCAACTTCATCAGATAATAGTTTGTTTTTGTTTGCCAGAGCCTTACTTTCTTCCTCAACCATCTGTAATCGATTAAGAACTTCATCTTTAGTTTGCACTTCTGTTCTGAGGTCTGATTTTAAGATGTCTATCTCACTCTTCAGTTTGTTAATTTCATTGTTCTTTTCAATGCATTCCTGTGAAAGACGATCAATTTCAGCATGCTGGCTACCTTGGGAATCCTTCAGTGACTGCTGCTGTAGTTGCTCTTTTCCCAGTGCAGTTTCATTTTCCATCACCTTCTGCTGTAGACTGGCAATAAGGGCTTCTTTCTCAACTAATTTTTCATCCAATTCTCGTTTCTGCTTCTCCAGCTCGCTGCATTTCTGTTCTAGTACATCCTTCTCCTTACACTCTTCTTTCTTGGAGTCTTCACCCTTCTTCTTGTCTTGTGCCAACATTTCCTCCAGCTCCTGAATCCTGTACTGGAAGATGGTGACATTATCGGCGGCATTGGCATACTTCTCCTGCTCAGACTCCAGGTCAGATTTCAGTTCCCTCACCTGGGTCTCCAAAGCGGCTACCCTCTCACAGGAGGCTGTCAGTTCAGAGGCCTGGCTCTGGCACAGCACAGACACATCCTGAGACTTCTGCAGACCAGACTTTGCACCCTCCAGCTCAGATTGCACTTGCTTCAGCTTCTCCTCCATGGCAGAGACTGCAGCCTCGTGGGTCTGCCGTTGCTCCTCTGCCTGCTTCTCCAGGGCTTCAACTTTCTGCTTCACTGCAGACTCCTGGCTCTCAAGCTGGATTTTCTTTTGGTCCAACTCTATCTTTGCATCTCTTAGCAGCTGATTTAGTTCAGAGACAAAGGACTCATGATCACTGAGGGATTTCTTATACTCTTCAATGCTCTCCTCTAGCTTAGTGATCTGGGCCTGTTTCTGTTGAAGCTCCGAGTTTGTCTGACCGACAGACTCCTCTAGAGCTGCCACTTTGGAGGTTAGCATGCCAAGTGTAACTTCCTGTTTGTTTTCATTCTCTGTGAATTAGGAAAACAATTACAAGTTAATCCCGAGAAAACTAATACTAAAATGTCTAGAACAAATTAACAGTGGTATGTTAATATGGTCCCCGTCTGCTCCAACTTCACATCCCCAAAAAGCACCTAGACCAAAAAAGATCCAGCTATTAGTTTTCTTCCCCATTAGGCACTTCCCTAATTGTCCAACTCCCAGCAAGCATAGAAGAGTCTATAAGAAAAAACACAAAACAAAAATTAGTTTTTAAGATTACATTTATTAATAAATAATTTTAATATCAATTTAAAAGTCACAAAAGAAATGACTGAAGGCTACACATTAAACTATCTAAAAAACAAAGATGTAATACTGGGAGTGGAATAAAGCACCAGCAAAAATCAATAATACCCTATATATTCTACACATAAGACATTTACAAAAAACAGTGATCAAAATAATATATTAAAAATGCGTCTTCACAAATAAAATTTGGTATAAAATGCACCACTTGTAGAACAAATTTAACATAAAGAGATCAATCTGCACAATATTTTGTCACTACAATGTTTTAACTAAGACTTTGAACGTAAAAAGTATACTGTAGAAACCCTGTGGAAAGGACAGCTGTATCACATGCTGTGGCACCATCACATTTTTATAATCAGGTGACAAGAAAATAACATGATTTTATGTTTTTTCACTGGAACTAACCTTTTAAAAATGAGATCTTTTTTTTTTTTTTTGAAATTCACATTTTGTATTTTGAAAAATTAAAAAAAAAAAGGCTTTTGCAAGATTCATAAATAAATTCAGGCAAAGGGCAATTTTTTCTTGGTTCTGGATCTTAAACTGTAAGGTTTTAGTAGACTGGACTTTCTCTTAGCAATTTTACTGTCAATAACCTTGCTCTTCCTACGCCCTGGTGTACCTCCAAAGAGGGAGGACCTTTTACGCTTTGAGGCCGAACTGAGTTTTTCATCAGTCTTTTCCTTAGATTTTCTTTTCAAGGGACTTTTGCCCATTAAACGAAGAAGGCTAGTTTTGGTATGCTTTGCAATAAAGCCACATTTTGAAGGTGTGAGCTTAAGTCTCATACTATGAGCAGCAGCCTCGTGGGCTTCTTGTCTTTCATCGTGTCTACTAGGCGTTCCTTTGGGCGTCTCTACCTTCTGGTCAACTACAATTTTAGGCACAGGACTTGAGGAGACGCCGTCCTGAGCATTACAAGCTGCCAGTGAGGGGCTGACCTGGGTTGTAGTGTGACTTGTGCTAGGTTTACTACCTGATGTAGTCTCTAGCTGAGACTGAAGCTCTTGGATTGTCTTGTCTCGGGCATCCAGCTTACTGTTGGCAGTCTCCACAGCCTCTCGGGTCTCTTCAAGCACCTTGTTCAGTTCTTCAATGGTCAATGCCTTTTAAAAAAATTTAAAAATCTGACATCAGAACTTTAGGTGCTACACCAGTATTGAAGTCTGTATGAAGACAACAACATATTTTAGAAACCACATAACTTATTTCACTTACGCATGCAAATTTGAAGTTTGTTTTCTTTTTTTTTTTTAATAGAAAAAGTAAGCTTAACTTAGCAAAAAATAAATTGCAACATTAAAAACAAAACAACAAGCATATAACCAAAAATATTTTTCTCATTGGGTTTGGGAAAAACTGTAACTGTGTGTCAGAGTGGAGAGTGGTTGTCAGCAGAATTGTTCTTCCAATATTTTAAGGGTGACGTACAGTGCACCCAGCACTACCTGTTGTTCAATTTTCTCCACCTCCTGTGATAATGCCTCCTTCAGCTTGCCTATCTCTTCCTCCTTCTGCTGGAACGTCTCTCCCGCTTCCGTCAGCATCTCATTCAAGTCCTCTGCCTCCTTACTCTGGGGAAGAGAAACCAAGGCAAACTGTTAAAGGAATGCTTTTTAAAATTTTGTTGTTCTTTATTTTGACCCTTTAAAAACATTCCCAGCCTCTGTCGACAATCAACTCTCATCATTTTCATTCAAACTATAGACAATCATCCATTAGCTCTCAACTTCCCAAAAGAGTTCCCAGTTACCTTTTGTGCCAACTGTTCTTTGGAGTGCTGGAGTTCCCTTCCAAGATTCTCCATTAGCTCATTAGTTTCAATGTCTCCTGAATTAGACCTCTTATGTTCTACCTGAGCCTGGCAGAGAAAGAAAGAATGAGTGCTTCTTTTCAATGACCAATTTAAGATCTAGTGTTAAGTTAGTCCCTTGATTGGTAAAATTTGAATTTAAATGACAATTAAAGTATCAACTAGAAAAGCACTCCAAAGCAGACCTCCGCCAAGGCAGCAATTTTGATTATTATTGATTATTGATCTGGATCATCACCAAAAACTAATCACTTCTAAGTTAACCCATTTCTGACCTACCCTGAAAATTTCATCAAAATTGGTTGATGACAAACAGACAGACAGACAAACAAACAAACAAACAACCAAACAAACAAACAAGGGAGAAAACATAACCTCCTTGGCAGAGGTAAAAAGGAGTTATTGATAGAGAAAAAAAAAAAAGCTCTTACTTGTGTGATTTTCCTCTTCACCTCATCCAACTGTTCCTTAGCTTCCGCCAGTTCTGCATCCAAGCAGGCTCTTTCCTTCTGTAACTTTTCACAGGCCTCTTGTTCACTCTGGGAATTTTCCTGAAAGATGGCACATACTACAAAACCAAGACTCTACATTTCAAAAATTCTGTTTTCTCTGACCAACAGGTGGAACAATTTTGCAGGTGCTTCAAAACACATGGAGGAGTGGATGTCTTTTTAATGCAAAAAGTACCAAGTTCCAGGATTTCATCCTAGGCAAATCAATGGGGTAGAAACACAGGCCAAGCCAATGCACTAAAAAACATATAACCTAATAATTTTGCTATCAGAGATAAACCTGACACGCCGATTTAAACTTCTGACCTACCGACTGCTTGCTCTTGAAGCTGGCCACTTCAAACTGCAGTTTGGTGTTTTCTGCCATCAAATTGTTCTTCTCCGTGGTCATCAGCCTCATGTCCTCCCTGCTGGCCCTCAGGTCTGCCTGGAGACTGCCCAGCTTGGTCTGCAACTCATGGAGCTGCTTCTCCAGGTCCTGCATGGGGGAAAAAAAACAATAAAAATTATTAACATGGAAAGGGATATTACTGTAAGCGAAAAAAATGTTTTTTCTAATCCTTACAACCAAACAAAACTACGGAAGCAGATATCATAAATCAACAAGAATCTGGAAGAACTTATGGTTTGATCACATTGATCTCCTGGTGAAAGGAGGCATAGAAGAAAACATTCTAACTTTGTCGTTGTTGAAGTTTATTATACTGTATAACACCTTTAATGGAGAACTTGAGCAGGGTCAGTAATTCACCTGATTCTTAATCTGAGCTGCATGTAGCACCTGGCTGGAAACCCATTCATCCTCCTCGTCTTCAAACCTGTCCACTCGTGCTCTCTTCCTGGTCTTCCTCACAGACTGCGTGAACATCTCGATCCTCTTCTCTGCCTTCTCCTCCACCATGATGGTCTCCTCTCGCAGTCTCTCACTGACAGAAATGATTACAAGGTTTTGATAATTTTGTTCATCTTTAAAGCTAATAAAAAACACTTCTCTGTATGAAATTCAAAAACTGATCTTAAAAACCATTTCAATAACAATATTAATGAGTAGAGAGCTGAAGCTAATATAGTCAAAATTTATCAAAAGCGCAACCAAAACCCGTTTGCCTGGGTTTCTTCATAGCAAAATTTGCCCCCTTTGCTTTCAACTTCATTTTAAAAAGAATGTTAAAACATAATTAGAAAGCATAGTCTGGGCATCTTCCACGCTAACTTATAATGAACAAGACAACAATTTCCAGTACAGAACCTCAAGGGAAAACAAGCTCAATATGTCTGCATTTCAATGAAAAATTGTTATGTGCAAACAGTGAAAATCTCAGTGTGCTCAGTTACCTGTACTGGTTCTCAATCTGTACCAACTGTTGCGCCATCTCCTGACACACCTCCTCCCGTATCTGAGCCTCCATCTGGGCCATCTTGCGCTTCTCAGACAGCAGGTCCTTCTTCAGGGACTGGATGATGTCCAGCAGCTCCTACAAATGGGGACAAATGACACAAACTGGGTGAAAAGTATGCCAAACATACTAGCCACTGAGACCATTCTTATCTTTGAGAGGTTCACATATATTTTTACAATGAACAGCACACTGAAGACACAACATCCATAAACTACTGGATTCATAACTAATCTTTTCACATTTTTCCAATCAGATCAAAAAACTTTCATATGAAACTAAAATAAGAAATAAATGTCAAATAAACTTATCAGTTTTCCAGATAACCATTTTAAATTACATGTAGCTCTCAGCCCTGTTGTTACCCACATGGTAAAACACAGGGGGCCATGAGATATCTGCACACTGACTTCAGGAAGACAGCACTACGTGAGCAAGGATATAATTCATCACTGAGCTACCAGTCTCAACATTTTACTATAGATTATATATATATACAGAGAAAGAGAATAAAAAAAATTACCTGTTCCCTGTCTGTCTCAGACTCCTCAAACAGACCATCTTCATCATCCTCTGGTATGGGCAGGTTCATGGCCTCCAACATTGTGCCTGTGGGAGAAAGGAAGCGGGACACCGGTGGTATGGTCTCATCTTAAGTAAGCCAAGTGCATTTTTCAAATCCCTTTCCTTGCTGGGTTGGTTATCATGATCACATCTTTTTGGAAGTTATTATTTACTGTCACTAATTCAAATGCGCAATTTTACAAAATATAAATGAAAGTAACGTAGGTGTTAGAGCAAGATTTTTGGGTGCAGGACTAAATAAAGTACTAAAAATAACATTTGATGCCAGGAATTATAATGGTCTGTTCTCTATGTGCAAAAATTACAATAAAGATCTGACAGAATTAGTTGTCAGAGTGCCCCGTACCAGGAGTGGCCCAGCTGATGGAGGGCCTGACGGCAGACGATCTGGGCGTCTGAGCCAAGGCCATGGAAACCAAACGAGCTGCATTCCTCGTCTTCTTCTTCTCTTCCTCTGGGGGTTTCTGTATCACAACCACCTGATAACACCAAACAACATACAAATCCATTAATTCCTGAAGGTCTAGGTAAAGGCTCACATTTCATCAGAATCACTATTAGTATACATTTCACTGATAAATTACCATAATCATGAGTAAATTTAATTCTTTCTAGAATACGAATATGGTCTGACAGTAGTAATATTTGTTAAAGTGCTATTCTGGAATTTTGCAAGTTACTTAGAGTACAGGGAGCAAAGAGGGTATGGAATAAATAAAATATCCTGGGGAGACATGAAAACAGGAGATTCACAGGTGGAAAGTAAATGATAAAAATGCAAGATGAACATCCACATTTCTGATGTTTTCAATCATCTCACCTGTTTTGCTATAGCTGAAAACTTCAAGACATGAAGAGTTTCATCAAACAGGGAGGCACACTGGTTGACGTTCACTATCATGGCAGCCTTCCCTTTGCCACAGAAGAAGTTCTGGAACAGTCGGGTGAGTTTGCTCTCACGGAAGGGAATTATCTTCGGATGTTCTCTAAAAAATTTAAATAACATTTTTTACAGAAAAGGTTAATCAAATTAAATATGGTCGTATGACTTTTATTGTATACAAAACATTTTCAGCATTTTTTAAAATAAAAAAAAATTCAGGCTAACTTAGGATAAGAGAATTTTCTTTTAAGATATCTTAATATACTTGAAATCTCACAAGAATGATGGAACTATCATCACTAAGAAAAGGGATCTTTTTGGGAAGCCTGGTAGCAATTTTTCCTGACTTGCAGCTTTGTGCAAGTTTGAGCAAATTCATTTTATTGTATAAGCTGAAAACATTCTTGCACACTATATGCAAGGAAATAATGAACACCTACTTGTGGAACTGATTATGTTTAAGTGCAGCAATACATCTCCCCAGCGTGAGGAGGGAGGTGTTGATGTTCCCAGCTTCCTTCAGTCTCTCTCCTGTATTGTGAGTCTTGGTGTAGCGCTCAGATCCGGCCAAATCACAGAAAGACAACCTAGACAAAATATTACCAAAATTCAGTATCATCAACAGAGAAATGCTAAAAAGCAAATACATCCAGATTTATTATATCTGTTTTGTTAAAAGATCAGCTGAACGAGGTTGACTGTATTTCATCATCATCACATACTCACATGCTGATTCTAGCTACATGGGGATCATCCTTAGCAACTACACGCAGCACCTTGATTGTGAAAATACAATGGCTGGAATAAAAAAAGATAATTCCAATATTTACCAACATTGTAGTGTATCAGCCAGAGAAGAGGAGAAATTGAATTGACAATGTTAATTATTCACTAATAGTTGAGCATGATTTTGGATTGCAAGAAAAAAAGTTGGAAGAAATGGCTTTATGGCCTTATGATCAATGAAGTTCAACCGTCAAGAAAAATTGTCTAAAACTGAAATACTCATCATTCTGCCTGGGACATCAGGGCATACTAATCACTGAATCAGCTGCAGGAGGCACATTTTGGAAGAGATCACGTACCTTCTACTTGAGCTATGGTTGAGCTTTGTGCAGGCCACCTGTAGGTTCTTCTTTCCAATGGTCAGAACCCGGTAGGCTTCATCAGCACTGGTCACCTGAACCGACTTCAAACCTGGAAACATGGTCAATAGCTTACTAAACTTCTGTCCTGTGTTCTACCCTATTGTGTATTGTTCTATTTCATACACACAAAAGAATGATATTTTACCGTGCCAATTCATATATAATGCACAGCTGACACCTATCTCACCTCTAATATATGGGCTGCCATTCTTGTCTTCACTAAGTTTGAGAGTAGGCCGCCTAGCATTTTTCTTCTTAGGGAGAGGTTCCAGTAAGTCGTAGATGTACTCGTTGTAGACCTCAGCAAAGCTGACCCACACAGAGAACTTGACCTGACCTTGACCTTCCACACTGATCGCTGCCTCCTCACGAACGCGGTTCTCTGCCTCCTCAAACAGCTTTTCCAGGTTCTCCTTGTCTTCTGCAAGTCCGATTATATAAATAAATGCTAACAGCCATTTGCATACACCATCTAATGTAAAAACTTTCTACAAATTATTGTAATGTAATTCTTCAGGAAATACTAAAAGTTTAAAGACAGACTTGACTAATTCTTCAAAGGCAATAGTGCAGACTGATTTACCAATAAACAGTTTAAGGGCTAAAATTATGTTTGTCCTATTGCAAACCCTTATAACTGACTTCAGGAATGCACAATTTTGTTATGTTTACAACTACACACACCATCTTCAGTCTCAATAGCCGACTCTACGGGATTGCTTTCTTGACTCTCATCCTGGCTTGTGGCGGTGGATGTGGAATCTAAGCTTGGAGCCAGGGACTCTGCAGAGGTCCGCGTGCTGCAGCTAATCCTGGACATGTCACTGAGGTCATCTCCAAGGAGGCTGGTCACGTCAGGCTCCTACAGGGAATGAATGGGGGGGGGGAGGTCAAACAGTGAAACCAGCCACTAACAACTGAGCATTCATATTTGTAAAAAATGTTCATGAAATCAATTATAATCCAATTGTACTACCCAAAATCATAATTCATGTTTATTTCTCTGCACTGATTATTGTAACCACTATGAAAGTGGTAGATTTATATCTATAATTTATTTGACATTATCACTGCTTATCACTACACTTTGCTCAAAATGTTTGTCGTACCTCCGGAGTGGCAAGGCTCATGACGTTCTCCTTGTTTTTCTTTTCTAGTTCTACTTGTTTATCCGAGAGCTTGACGACGTCAGTGAACATCCTTGGTTTCAGACTCATGCTCTCCCACTGCTGGCCCTCTATACTGTTGAACAGCACGTCCAAGGCTCTGGGGAGGATTCCGCCATCTTTAGGGTTACCTGGAACGCAGGAGCATCAAAATGATTACTTTTCATACACTTTCTGAGTTGAAAAATTGGTGTACTGACATTTCAATGGCAATGTCCGAGACTAACCTTAGGGGTGTTTTACAAGCATTTAAAAACATCTTAGTTGTTTTTAAATGCACTGCAAAAAAGGCAGTAAAAAAGGGGCCTTATCTTTCCCAATTCAGTCCCCAAACAAAAAAATCCTCTTATTCAAGTTTACCTGAAGTTTACCTGTTGCTGAGCTTTAGAATTTCCTTCAGAACCATCCATATTTTTTTAATTAGAAATTTTGTAGAAGTATAATTAGTGCGTAGCAGAAAATGCTTTTTCCTTGAGGAAAATTAGACTTGGAGTAAAAAATGTTGTACAGAACACCTTTCAAATAAAGTGTATTACAATGTAAACACCCCACCATTAGTCATAGCACGATTTAAGAAATCACCTTGAATAGTGTAAGTCTTTCCAGAGTTTGTAACTCCATAGGTAAAAACAAGGCAGTTCTGCCCATCGATAAAGTCTTTCACAGTGCCAAGCATGGTCTCATCAAAGAACTGTTTCTGTTCCGTTCCCTCTGAGAAGATCTTGGAGAATGTGAACTTGTGAGTCATTTTTCCACAGCCATGTGTGCTGTTCTTGAAGGTAACAGACTCCTTTGGTGCATGCATGACCAGGTTGTTGATATTCTCAAGTTCCATACAGCCCTGAAAATGAAGAGAGAGATCAATATTACCACTAAATTTAAAATATTGTCATACAGTGGAACTTATGAAATTTCAAAAATCTGAAATAGCATTTATAAAATTTCCAAACCATTTCATCTCTAAGTTGAAAATAGGATATCTTTCCCTTCATCTGATTCATCAAAATTCTAGTTCATAACAAAACAAACAAACAAAGAAAAATAATAATTAAAAATAAAGATCACCATGTTACCTGATTTTCATTGTTTTCCTGTTCCTCTTGAGTAAATGGTCTAATACGGAGGAAAACCCTCACGTGTTCACTTCCGGGATCAACATTTGTACTAGAGTTGGCCTTCATGGGGGTTGGGGCTAGATCATCAAACAAATTCTTGCGAGCACCCTTATTTAATGTGGCATCCATATCGCTAGTCTCTCCAATGCCCAACTCCTCCTCCGTTTCCATGATTTCTATATACTTTTTTGTTTCAGACTCCATGCTCTAATCCAAATATGTCACTAAACGGCAGCTTCTGCTAAAAAGAAATTTGATGCAATCAAAATGTGTGTTTTTAGGATTCATCAACAAATCAATGCAAAAAGTCTCTTGCACTTTTATTTATTCTTTCTTAAAATCCCTAGTGAGTGCAAAGGTTTCAAAGAATACTTCGTGTTTGCAAAATATTGGTTATATACTGCTAGGACTTACGATACTAAATTATTTCAGTTTTTATTATCATAAAACAGATACAAAGATTGAGGTTCAACTAGGGTCATAAACAGGTGATTTTTAAACACAATTTCTCTCAATCTGAGACAAAAATCTGGCTTTCAGCTTTTAGCTTACTTAGATCTAAATAAAGAGTACTGAAAGTTCCAATTACTTTTACCAAAATCTTCCAATATTTTGCAAGCATAATGAATACAAATAAAAAGTATGAATCGTACTTAGTGACTACTGAAAATATCGGAATCATTTTACAAGCAAGTTTCCAAGGGAATGATACATTAGCAAATGGTTTAACTTACCGTCACAAAATGTAAAACTGTTTTTCTTGTTTCTCTCTCTTCCTGAAGGAAGATACGTGGACAAACTATGCGTCCTTTTTTAACAATTCATTTAGACAGCACCTTCATACTTGCCGCTATCACAGAGAAATGGTTTGAAATTTGAAAGCAGCCAATCAGCCTTGGGCTTTTTTGCTTGCCTAGGCAAGGCCTAAGATTCTGAACTAACTCCCAATTGGTTAGAATTTGATGTCACGTGACACGCAGGTAAATAGGTCAAAATGGCAGAATTCGCAGGATTGGTAAGTCGGTTTGTTATCTCAGATATTCAACAATTTGAAGTTGTTAAGAGAACATATTGTAAAGTAAAATTTCCATTTGATAATCTGCATAACTCCTGTAGTCAGGGATTAAAGCCAGCTGTAACCATGTTAATTCTTATAGGGATTGTACACCTTGTTTTACATGGTTACTGTGTGATTAAAGCCGAAGGTCCACGTGTGATAGGTGAATCATATGTATGTGAAGACTATGTACAGTCTGTAGTTTCCACTGTAGCACTGTACTGTACGTTGCCAGACGATTTTGAACTTGAAAATATGTAGGAATATTGAGTCGAAGCAGTGGGAAATGTTATGTTGAAAATGAGTCGGAGAGGCTAGGGTTAATAGGAGATATTTTCTTCAGTTTTTTTTACGTTTGTATGTAATCATTAACAAGTAAATGATATACAAACTGCAAGTTAACGTTATAACTCGAGGTTAGTATTGTAATGATAGAATTAGACCAGTTGGATGGTTCTAATATCTTTTCTGAAATTTGGCTCAGAATTAAGTACCAGTAAGCATTCAGGCTACTATTCAAGCTTGATATAATATTGAATTTAACATACACATTTGATATGTTCTTTTTTTACTTTAGAATCAAATTATGTGAAACACATTACCTTTGAATGCAAAATGATTTCTATACTCTTCAAATTAACACTGCAAAGTCCCATGCTGCTCGTGCTCACACGGCCAATTTTTTCTGATTTAATGAAGTCTTAATTGGCTGTAAAATATATTTGTAATTTATGCTCAAAAGTAATTTTGTCACCCAGGCCTAATAAATTAAATAGCCATTCATGATCTCTAGCCTTGAGATTGTGATTGCAAATGCAGGATTAATTTCTCAAACTGAGTTTCATGGCACAAATGTAAAAATAGTGGTGTTTATGTTTCATCTGCTTGCTTCTTGTTAAGAACCCTAGAAACTCAATCATGCAATTTAGTTTTTATTTCATTTTGATACATATTTGTGTTACACCTTATATGTGAGTTTACTGACTTGTCATTTCAGAATGCATCTCAAGTTCAGGCAGTTGGGTCAACATTGGGACAACCAGCCTCAAATTTTCAAAATAATGTAAGTTTCTAGTTTCATATAGCAATTTCTAGCAATATTAGAAAAAGCTGGACTTTTTTATTTATGTAGTTTTTCTTAAATTTAAAGGAATTTAAAATGAAATCAGAAAAAATACTTTTTGATTTTAGCACGTTTATCTTTTCAATGTCTTTTTCAGGAAGAAGTAGAGATTCAGTGGGCTATGAAAGCTTACAGACATGCTGAGATTTATTTCAATGTAAGTTCTGTCTACAACTTTTGTCATCAGTTCCCGTTACACATAATATAAGATTTTGTTGCCCAATCAAAGATGAATAGTGCAATGTTATACGGCAAAAAAAAAAAAAAAAAAAATCCCTGGAATAGTTAGCATATATTTTTCAGACTAATCTTTCATCCTCCTTTCCTGGCACTTGTCATAGCTCTGTAACAATCTCAGAAAAAAACCTTAATCCACACTTCATAACTGTGCCTGGGTGGCAGACAGCTGACAGGTTTGCCAGGAGATGGTAAATTAGATAATTTTTGTCAATGCAGCTTCATGGCATTTTTTTCGTTAAATTACTCGACAGATTATTTAAACAAGAAGTGTTTTTTTCCTCTAATTTGTGTTTAAATTCTTAAATTTCATCCTTTTAAGTTTTATTTTGTATAATGACCTCTCATGTTCACTGTTGTGTACTGATTGTATCTCAATTGGTTTCAGCTGCTGTGTTCAGTTGCAGAACCAAAAAACTTGAAGCTGACAAAAATAGATGATGTAATTTACCAAATGTTCAGAGAAACATTTCCAGACATGAATATTGCAGTAGTAGACGTTGAAGCTATGAAAGCACCTGCTGCCAAAGAGGTATGTACAAAAATCTTCCCTTGCTATTAAATCTTCTAATTCCCCCATCTCAACTAATTTCTCTGAGAAATTAGTTGAGATGGGGGGAAATATTTGATCATTTTCAAATTAAAAAAAGTCACAGATTTATTTATTGATATTTAATTGATCGTGTAATAGTTAAAATAATATGGAGTTGGCTATATACATGCCAATTTTTCATGCATTTAGTTTCAAGATGAAAGAAAAAATGAATTGGTGCTTTGTATTTTATTATTATGGAATATTTATGTGTAAACCAACAAATATTGCACTTTGTTGTGATAAAAGTTATAATAAGTTCCCCATGCTGTTAAGCTTCATGAATTAATGATTTTCTCTGAGAAATTTGAAATGGTATATTTTTTAAATATTTTTCTTTTTTAGAAATGGAGACCATTCTGTGAGGAATTTCGAGACAGGGTAGAGGACTATAACTTTGGTACTTTAGTCAGAGTAAATGCTGATGATGAGTATACAGAAAAAAATACGGAAATTGGTAAGGTTCTGTTCCTCTTTGATTGTGTTTAGCAGTCTCAGCTACTGCAATATTTTTTTCTTTTTGTAGATAGGGAAATTGTATTGGTTTGATAAATTGTAAGGACGTTTAGTGTAGAACTAAATATTATTTTATAAAAAAATTATTAAAAATTAGAATGAAATATTGGGTGGTAAGATCAGACAAATATAAGTAGCTATAGACAAAAGAATCTTCACAAGTGTAAGGACGTTACTTTGAGCAACATTTTATATTTAATTCATTATGGGAATTTGGCTTGTTAAATGTATTTAGCATTATTCAGAGTGATTGTAAATTGAATCTCTTTTTTTTTTCCAGTTCCGAGGGTGCAGTTTTTTGCATTAGAAATAGCAAGAAATAGGGAGGGATGCAATGATGGATTGAGAGAAAAATATGCTGTCAAAGATGACAAACCACCTTGTTTACCTGAGAAAGACGATCAAATGGATCTTAAATACTTTCCTGTTTTGAACACTATTGGACAATTAGTTGAAAAACAATATAAGGAATAACTTTCCTCCAAAACATTTCAATAGTTTGAAGGAATTTCCTCATTAAAAGTTTCTTGGAGTCATTTGAAAGGTCTTCCAGCTCTGTTTATAAATTGGGCACGTTTACAGTTACCACTTGTCAGTGAATACAGTCAGTCATTCAAGATATTTTCTAAAGTGGTGCTGGCAGATCATTTTTGACAGCTTAACTTAGTACCATAATATCTCATCAAGTCATGTAATAATGAGTTCCAGCTACCGTTTACCAGGGCCATAGAGAGCTTTTGTCTAATGGCTAATTAAGTACACATTTCTGCACTGGGTGAAACTGCAAAAATGGTGTCGTCACCCAGTTCACCTCTGGTAGAGAGGAAGTTTCAGCTGTCCCCAAGCGACCTACGTTGGTAAAAATTGTTGGTTCGTGGACAACAGATGGATGAGATGGGCTTTTTGTGGTTAGAGATCGTAATTGGACAATCTACCAAGATGGTGCATAAATCACGCTGTCCTAGCTAGAAGCTAGACTGGAAATCTGTCTTAATGTGCCTCCTTTCATAAATATATGAAATAGTATCTTGATTTCAGGTCTCTAACATTTACAAGTAAATAAAATATTTGAATAACTTATATTTGGATGTATATTTTATTGGAAAACTGTCAAGCACTGCAGCTTACGTTAACAGTTGTGCATCAAAAATCAAACAGTGACTTGTAAAATATCAGACATGCGTATTCGCAAATTGAGTCCTTTTTTTGGCAGGCCTTTGCTGTAATCATCCCCCCCCCCATGTGTGGTGTATGCATACAGGAGAAAAATACTGTTTAAGAGAATTTGGATTATAGAAGCTAGCTAGTTAACAACTTGGATAAATGCCATTTCCCACTTCACTCTGCTATAAAAGGTGTACTCGGTGTATCTGATATAGTACAGATAAATGTTTCCAAAGCAAGTTTTAATTTTCTAGACTGGACGTTTACCGAAACAGTTTCGGCTCTCTTGTCAATTAATTATTCAAGACTTGTTTTGTCCTTTAATGTGGAATGAAATGTTGAACAAAGATCATTGTTACAAATCGATACAGTCTCGAATAAAAATCAATGCTCTAAACTTCAACGTGCAGAACCTAATCAACATTAGGTTTCCAATCATACGCTGTTCACGGCTGCAATGAAGTGAGCGGCTACTTTATGAATGTCGAAATTAAAACGACTAAATACTTGAGGGAAACGCTGGTTTACGTTCTAACCAATGTCGGACCAAAGGACGGCATCTGCATCTGGCACAGATGTGATCGCAAACGAAAATTCTCAAGAAAAGAGGCGCACTTCAAGGGGAAGACGGTCGTCCAACCCGGACGGCGTGGATGGGGACAAAAGTACCAATCGAAGACGAAGAACATCAAGACCAAGAGAAAGTGCAAAGCCGGGAGATCCTAAAAACTCGGACAAAAATCCAGACGACAAGGCAGCAGCTGATGGAGAACCAAACAACAATGTTGTAGACGCTAAGGATGAGAAGAAGAAAGGGGGTGGGCTTGCAGTCTGTGTTAAGATTCTCAAGTTGTCTTTTTCTTACGTTGGTCTTTTTCTTATCGTGGTAGCTTATAGTATCGCAGGAGGGTTCGTGTTCCAGCTGCTAGAAGAACCCAATGAAGTTTCTGAGTGTGAAGAATACAGGGCGGCATATATTGAAGCAGAAACTAACACTGTGGACCTTGTCTACGACCTTGCTTTATTAAAAGACACGGAAACCCAAGATTACGTCATTGAAAAATTCAGAGAAAAATTGAAATCTTTTGGTGATGCTTCAGTTAATACGGGATACTCATGGGGGACGAATTGTACATTGATTGGAAAACCAGACGAAGGAGGGGACGTCAGCGTGTGGAATTTTGCTAATTCTTTCCTGTTTGCTTTGACCATCGTGACCACAATAGGTACGTACTGCAGCCCATCTGAAAGGCCGCATTTAATCAAATAAGTTCAGAAATAAAGCTGAAGCTGAGCGATTTCATGTTCTTTTGACACCAACGATCACTTCTGTTTCATAAGAAGCACGTAAAATCTATCAAAAGAGTGCAGTTCATAATTTTTGTTATCACCACCACTCAAAAATGTCCATAAATTATATTTCATTTTAATGACTTTTTGAATGAAAGGCTCGGTAAAACTTCTGAAAAGCAACATATCAGACATGCAGGTATATTTTCCAATGTCCTGGGGTTTTTTCAGGCTATGGCCACATTGCCCCTCACACCAACTGGGGGAAGATCGTCTGCATGGCCTACTCGCTGCTGGGAGTCCCTCTGATGCTGATGAATCTGACCAACATCGGGGACGTCATGGCAGACATATTCCGCTACGTCTATGCCAAAGTTTGCTGCTGTGGCTGTTGCAAAGGCTGCTGTAAAAAGAATAAGGCAAGACGCAGTGAATAGGAATAAGCTCTTTGGCACTTGTTCACGTGTCAAAAACGAAGTTAATGTCCCTTGAATAACAAGTTTAAATAAAATAAAATAAAAAGTAATGAGACTCTGAGTTTGGTGAATAATGCTCATGTCAAAATTCAAGTAAATCTGGAATATCCTCATATGACAATCTTCTAATGGGAGCAGAAGCAAATTCATATTGTTTCATTCTTATTTAAAAAAGACTAGGAATATTTATCAGTTATATCTTGCACAAAATATGTTTTGACACAGATCCATATGAATTAAAATGTGAACAAGTGCGTCATATTTTCTGCTGTAGGTTCGCGCCATCAAACCCGCACCAAACGCGGCGTTTCAGTTAGACTCCAAAGGAAAACCAATGCCAGTGGTAATCGTCGCAGACGACAGTGATGATGATGACGAAGAAGAAGAGTTCGATATCGAATCCGTTACTGTCCCCCTGAGTATTACTTTACTCACTGTTACCCTGTGGCTCGTATGTGGAGCGGTGATCTTTGGTAAGGTTGACTGGAGTGTCAGGACTTCACGTATAACATGAATTCCTGGCGTGTCAGAAATTCATGTTATACGTCTGGCAAAAAGTAGGGGGGTATCGAAATAAAAAAATGAATTAAAAAATGAAATTGAGTAAAATAACACAAGTTAACATAAAGATTGTCTTCCCCATATTTTAAATGATGAAAAAGGCATAAACTCTGCTCACACGATGTTGCATTCAATAAAGAAAAAAAATCGTTTTTTTCAGGCGTTTGGTACGATTGGACATTTGTGGAAGGATTATATTTCTGTTTCATCACCCTTACTACAATAGGCTTCGGTGACTACGTCCCCAGTGTGAATGACTTAAGCACGGACGAGAGCCGGCTTCGTATGTGTATAGCATGGATGTATATTATCTTTGGACTGGCCCTAGTACCCATGGGAATCACTGTGATGCAGGAAGAGATCGTGAACAAAGTGACCTGGCTTACTTCTAAATGTGGTTTTGGGGGCGACGACGAGGAAGAAGATAAAAAATAGGCCTAACGTGCAAGTGAATCTCCATGACGTGACGTTTACAGGTTGCTGATATAGGCCAACGAACTCCTCAGTCTTTAACTACATGTGTGTGTGTGAATTACCGAACTGTACTCATCGACTGCTTCTGACCTATCTATCGATTTCCAAAGCCCTTGCGATAAATAGAAAACGATATTATTCAATCCGAGTATACAGAAAAAAATCGATGGTTAAGCAATCGTTTCAGTTCATATATACACGTGTTTCATTTTATTTTCGATTTAATTACTTTCTATATTCAGCCATTAAAACTTTTTGTGTCAGTGTCTGAACAAAATTACTAGCCTGAGCGTTTCATTCGTAACATAAAGTGGAGAAAAGAGATCAACAAAATAATCAGTGCTGGCGAAGCATTGCGATAGAGGAGTCGAGAAAAGGGAATTACGTTGTATCTCCTTGCAGTATGCTTATGTTTAGGTGAAGCAAGAATAAAGATTCTTCATGATATTTAGACAGCTTGCATTTTTTTTACTGGACGGAACAGACATCACAAGAACTTGTCGTTATGTGAATAAGTATTGTATTTATATGTATATATATTTAACACTTGCGAGAAAACCATTCATTTGTATTTGCATTGTCCATTTTGTAATCTACAACACAGTGTGACAAGGATAATATAAAGTCATCTGGGACATTTGTATTTTTTCCTCAGTTTATATTTGAAATTGATTGGATTTGTATTTTCAGTTCTGTTTAACCACAATGCATATCTTACATTTTCCACCTTATTGTAAACCAGTGGCCTTTCAATTTTTTCTCATGTAAAAAGAAATTAAATCATGGACTACCACAAAGTCTATCACCAATTTGTTATTTGTTCTTTCGCGGCCAATTTACTGTCCCTATATATTTTGCATTGTCGTTGATGGTATGGTATTGATTTCGTTAACAAGTTAAATATTTGGCTTCAATGATTTTTCCAATTGATGTCTCCTTCGCGACAGCATTATATCGTCTCTTGGGGCTATACACCTGTAGTTGGAACGTCGATATGGCCTCCGCTAAAAGCTCGTCTCACAAAACAGTAGATGGATTTGACAATCGATAGGAGTGTGCAGGACATAAAATATTAAAGCTGCGCTCTTTAGGAAGAAATGCAAACGATCAATCAAAACTGTTAGCTCTTTATCATTTCAAAACGCGACCTGTTAGCGTAACCGGCCCGTGACACGCAGTTGTTGTCGTGTTTCAGAGCACTGGTATGACTTACTCTGGAATTGTAAAGCATTGTTAATTTTTGCCATGTAGCTGCACACTAAAACAGCCATTGAGATTATTCATGAAGTGACATCGATATTAGACGCTTTGAGTTTTACCGGAATTTCCTCCCCGCAACTTTCTATTAACATTCACGATGAAAACGTTGTCGGACGAAAATCTAAAGGACAACATGGAACTGAGTGACGAGGAGGAGGGGGACGCTCTAGAGAGAAAAGACACCCCCAGACCAGAAACACCCAGAGATGAAGAGGAAGCCGAGCAAGACAAAAAGAAAAAGAAGAAGAAAAAGAAGGGGAAATGTGGAAAATTTTGTCGAAAATTCATCAAGTTTATGTTCTCCCACGTCGGACTAGGCGTTTTAGTAATCGCGTACAGCATTGGCGGTGGGTTTATCTTCGAACACCTGGAGGTACCGAACGAGGAGGACGAATGCAAGAAGGCGGCGACCGACTATTATAAAGCAGAAAACAACACTTTGAGCCTTATTTGGGACATTGCGTCTCAAGCAGGCGATGCTCAAGACCAGGATATCAAGGACAAGTTCAAGAAAAAGTTACAGGAGTTTGGGGTGGCTGCCGTGTCTTACAACTACGTGCCACAAACCAACTGCAGTCTTATCGGCCAGCCGGGAGGACCAAAACTTATCTGGAACTGGGCAAACGCCTTTCTCTTTGCCTTGACTGTCGTCACAACTATAGGTAAGAAAATTTTATCAGCTGCATGTTTATCCGTATAAAATCTCAACTAGTGCTTAGTTCAAATGCCTAATATAAGATATAAGTTGACATATATAGTATACAATAATATAAACTTTGCATCACAAAACAAAAAAGTGGTGAGGACGGATCTCTTAACGAATCCTTAACGAATTTTCCGTCTGGAGGCTGCATGGAAGTGGCTGATCACAGAGTAAGATAATCGCGTAAAGTCAAAAAGACGGTTGAAAAAAAATTATTTTTCTTTTTTTAGGTTATGGGCATATTGCCCCTCGTACTATGTGGGGGAAATTGGTGTGTATCGCCTACGCCGTGTTAGGGATCCCGCTCACTCTTCTCTTCTTGACAAACATCGGTGACGTCATGGCAGATATATTCCGCTATATCTACGCCAAAGTCTGCTGCTGCGGTTGTATTAGAAAGAAGAATAAAGATAAGGTATATTCAGAAAGTACTGAAACCCACCTAGTAATTCATTATGTTTTCAATTACGGGATCATGTGGGCACGTATTTTAATTTGATTTCTGGTGTTGGATAGATGGGGATAAAAAAAGAATTATGAACTATTTTATATTTGCATAAGTTAGACAAACGCATTAATTCATTTTAAACCTTCCATGTCAATGTTTTTTTTTATCTTGTATTTTCATAGCCCACCAAACGGTCAGTCGGTATCCCATTGTTCCGTATATCAACTCTATTTTTAGAATAAAAGGTGAAACAGCATGTTAACGTCAATAATCAATAATTTCTAAATTTCAACAATTGATCTTTACCATTATTTATTTGCATTATTGGACTTTAATAATGATGTTTTATCTTATATATCAAATATACGCCTTCTGTTAACAGGTACAAGAAATTCGAACCCCGTCACCAACCAAGGGTTGGAAACTCGACGAAACCGGTAAACCTCTTCCTCCGTCCAGAGAGCCGACCATCATAGATAATGATGATGACGATGATGACGAAGAGGAAGAAAAGATTACCGTGCCCCTTACTGTTACCATGTTAGTGATCATAGGGTGGCTTCTAGGAGGATCTGTCTTGTATAGTAAGTGGCCATACCTTAGATTTCTGTAGTATTTCAATTTTTATTTTTATAGAAATGCTTTGAAATTTAAAAGGATGATTAAGAAGATGTAAACATGATATTCTGCAGTGAAAATAATCGCTTTTCTTTCCAAACATCTATAAATCATATAGCAATTTGGCATTTCTCGTCTTCTTTCCATATATTAAGTCAGTCGTCGTAAATATCCCTCGCCAAACAAAAAGCTTCTCTCTTCCTGAGCTTAACTGGGTAATGACGTCATTTTTGAATTTCTGTACAAAAATTCTCAGAGTAGGCCTACAGAAATGTGAACAGAATTAGACAGAATAATATCTGTGAATATTTAGCGAAATATTCTCTATGTGACACTGGTTGTGGGTTATAATAGTCTATGGTTAAAATTTTATAATCTTTACTTTATTCGTTTTCCAGCCGTGTGGTATAAAGATTGGAAGTGGTACTCTTCCTTCTACTTTTGTTTCATCACCATGTCCACCATCGGTTTCGGTGACTATTATCCCTCTGTGGATAACGGCCTTGGAACCGTGGAGGACATCATGATCATGGTGTCAGCCTGGACCTACACCATCGTTGGCATGGCGTTTCTGGCCATGGGATTTAACTTGATGCAGGACGAGATCGTCGACAAGTTTAAGTGGATTGGAGAGAAACTTGGTTTTTACAAAAAGGAGGAAGAGGAAGGGGAGGAGGCAGAGGAGTAAAGGCGATGGAGGAGGAGGAGGAGGAGGAGTAAATGCGAGAAAGGGAGGAGGAGGTGCAAGGGCGAGAAAAGGAGGAGGAGGAGTAAAGACGAGAGGAGGAAAAAGGTTAAATTGCACGTTTGAAATCAAACCAATAAACAGTGAGCAATGATTATGCCCTGTCATAATCCGTCCATCACTACATAGACACTTCATGTTAATTTTCTGTGATTTTGTGATGTCCGTGTAGTTCTAATAATTGTTAACTTATTAAAAGTATATTTACAAACGGAATAAACAGGTTGCCAGGTTATGTCTCAATCAATCGCCAAGGAACGAAGAGAATTTTCATAATTCTTTACACGTCAATAATATACAGTACATTTATATGAAGTCCGCCAGAAAACCGTAAATATTTAAATTTGGTTCTGTAAATTCCTTAAGGTTAAGCACTGGATAATGATGAAAATTACTCGGGATGGAGGAGATATGAAATAGCGTTTATTCAGCTGTAATTCAAGGTTTAGTGAAAGCTACTGTTGCTTGAAGTAAATTCTCAATATACCCCTTTTTGCCATCAGCCGTGTATTTTATATAAAAAACTATGCACATATTTTTTCCTTGTTTTATGCCCTTGAAGCATCCGTCCAGTGTCAACTTTGAGGTTCGTTGTGCGTTTTATCTTAAAACCATGGTAATAATACAAAGTGTTTACGATAATATCACGTCCATGAATTAATTAAAAATTCAATATTCAGACCAAATGTGGACTGTACATTAGATTGTTCGCTGTGCCTGTTTTGTTTACTCCGCCCATGGATACACCTTTATACTGGAAGACAATGTTCTGCTTAAGAAGAATCTCAACCCGAAGCATTGTCAACAATCATTCTCATAGTATGTTTGAAAAATTGACTGTTTTTGCTGAACCAACCAATCAATGTGTGATATTTGAGATTGATATAAAAAGTGACTACAATGGCATCATAATGTATTTGATGAATGGTAAACTGTGAAGACGCATGCATATGTATGTTGTTATACCAATGCCAGTTTTATGTTGCTCTTTACATATTTTATAATGAATGTTACTGAATATAATAAATGTGTATTTTTATTGAAATAATCTTTTATTTTTAATACTTATCTCTTCTCTCGAATTGTCTTTTTTTAACGAATTATAAAAAAATGACATGCATTAAGATTAGAGTAGAAAACTCCAAGCACAAATAAAATTGAAGATTTGAGAACTGTAATATAATTACGCAGAGTTAGGGGCAAATGTAAATGTAAACCATATATCAAATAATTTCGAGATAACATGCAATTTGAAAAAAAAAATCATTATCATTAGGCCTATTATGTTGTAGATTTTTTACCTATCAATTACTCATCATTTTTTTTTTTTGTCAAAATCTTAAATTCTGCTATTTCATCACTTTTCGCAATTAAGTCATTATTGAAAATATCTTCAAAAAATTTTAACTCCGCATTGTTTGATGGACTGTTTAATGCCATTCAATTTTAAAATTATCAAATGGTTTGGAGCCAAAGGTCCGAAAGAAATTTCTTTTCAATATGCTATTTTGTGATGCGCTGAAAATAAAATACATTATCCCCATTTGTTGGTTGACATTTGTTCAGTTCTTTTTTTGTGTGTGTAACTGATGAGTTGACGTTAATGTTTAGTTTCCTGTCAGACACGGTGTGCGCCGCCATGTATCTTATGTTACACAGCACTTGTATTCACGGAATTGCACAGGTAAGTGTAATGGATACTAAACGCAAAGTCGATCACGCTTCTCTGCGTTTAGTTCATCGGATCGATAAGTGGGGTTTTCATTTCGATTAACTGACATTAAACATTGATGGAGTTGCCTTGGCGTCCTGTCAGGGGTGTTTACACGACACACTGAAAGCCTTGATGACTGCTTTTGTTTAAGGATGGGAACGGGACAATCGATAACATCTAAATGACAATTGGTGTAGGTTATGAAATATTTAATTTTCTGCCACTGTGACAATACTTCGGTTCGATATTCACTTTCACTGCGGGATATTTGCGTCGACTCCATCAAACGGAACGCCATTACGAAGATGCTGACGCTGTCAGCGGCGATGACAGATGAAATCGGCCAGTGAGTTCTGTATATGAATTTAGTAAGTGCAGACTGTTAAAATAATTGGACGATAAGTCGTGCTGTTTAGTTGAAGTGGAAAAAAAATGTCTGAAAAGCCCCACACTGCCGAGTCCAAACTTCTGGAGGAGGAAGGATGACAAGAAGCAAAAGAAGGGAAGCGCCGCCGCTAGATACTGCAAGTTAGTGGTTAAATACACTTTCTCCCACGTCGGGCTGATCATCATGGTGATTCTGTACAGCGTGGCTGGCGGATTTCTCTTTCAAAGCCTCGAGGAACCAAACGAACTGGACGAATGCAAAGTCTCAGAGGCCTCGTACCAAGTCATCGAGAATGCCACTTTGAACAAAATGTGGGAAATCACCAATACAATAACCAATGACAATAAAGACCAAATCGTAGAACTTTTCACAGAGCTAATGAGGAACTACAGCGTAGATACCATAGACAATGGCCACGAACCGACTAAAGTGTGTAATATGTTGGGGAAGGAAGACCCTGTGTCGGGGCAGGTGGATTACCAGTACAACTGGAACTGGCCCAACGCTTTCCTCTTTGCTCTGACAATTGTATCAACCATTGGTAAGTGGCTACCACACATATCTAGCCATACCCCTATTCTGAATGCATTTCACTTGCTTGTTATCATAATTGTTTCTTGCTGCAGGTTTGTTTTACTAATTTAGATCCCACACTGTTAAATCGTGTTGTTATCGTTGTCTCGTTTACGTGTTTTAATGGTAAAAGTAATCTTTTTTTCTCAAAAAAAAAAAAAAAAATTAAGCATTCTTTTTTACCAATTCCCTCTCAGGTTACGGTCACATATCCCCAAACACGATGTGGGGCCAGCTAGCCACCATAGCGTATGCTCTGCTAGGCATTCCCCTCATGTTGATCTGCCTTGCCAACATCGGGGACGTCATGGCCGACATCTTCAGGTGGATCTACTCTAACGTCTGCTGCTGTGGATGCTGTAAAAAGAAACAAGAAAAGGTGAGAAGCTCAATTTTTATTTTTAGACATGATGTCCAATTTCACACATACAGAATATTGAACGTGTTTTTGATGCAGCGATGCTACGTTTTATATTGCGGTTGGCCAAGTGACCGTAAAGTAGTTTTGAGATTTAAGCCCATTTTTAACATTTAAAACCTGACATAAATCTTACCATCAATCAATTAAACGCATAAATCAGACTACAAAAGCAAAGGCTTTTCTAGGAACCCGAAGATGAGAAATTGGCTAAGAATGGAGCGTGGCGGACGGACGCCTCGGGGAAGCCAATACCCCCGGGCTCGGCCGATAATGAAGAGAGTGATGACGAAGATGAAGAAGATGAAGATGAGAAGATCACCGTCCCCCTGACCATTACAATGATAGTGATTGCAGTCTGGATTGTGTTCGGAGCCGCACTTTTTGGTAGGACATATGCATATTCATTATTTTCTGGAAAGCTTGTATTTTCTTTAAAAAATAGAAAAAAAAACTGATTCTGTGTAATATTAAGAATTTAACACATCTGTTCGTTCAGGTTGAAGAAAATCGTTTGTGTTGTGTTATACGGTGTGAACCCCACGTGCACTGGAAATATTCTTTTTAAAGCGTTTCCTGCTGTGTAAATAGGCTCCACTTCTTGTTCTTTATACGACACGAGAACAACATTTGCACATAACCGGTGTGATTCGTTATTTCAGATGCATGGGAGAAAGACTGGTCATTTCTGGAAGCCAGCTATTTCTGCTTCATCACCCTGACGACCATTGGGTTCGGGGACTATGTGCCCGGAGTGGAAAACCTGGGGACGTCTGAAGGCCAGATTCAGATGATAATCGCCTGGCTGTACATCGTGTTCGGGATGGCTCTCGTCGCCATGTGTTTCACTTTGATGCAGGATGAAATTGTGGCGAAATTTGCGTGGATTGCAGAGAAGATTGGCCTGGCCGGCGAGGATGAAGATGCCGACGGAAAAAAAGAGAACTGAGAGAATATTGAGTAAGACGGGACAATGCTGGCAGCATATTTTTGCTTGACTATTGTATTATAAATATATCATAATCTCGTACGCCAAACTGGAAGGCGGGATGGTTCCAGTTTTGTACATTAGAAACACGCGTCAGGGACATTTCTTTCGGACAGACTTAACCGAATGTTTTGACGTGTGTTTTAATTTAGAAACATTATTCTAAAACAAAAACACCATTACCGACGCAAAGGTGTGAAATTTGCCTGGCCAAATGAATTAATTCATAGCCACAGTTTGTCACTATCCGTGTTCAGTGAGAGTCCAGTTACTCTTAATTGATATTTGAAATCCACCTCTCTGTGATTCAAGTCTGATAACATGGCATGTTACTAGCCGTTGGTAACCGAATCAGAAACTCTGCAGAACTGTGATAACAGAAAGCATTCTTATGCAAATAACTGTGCCTCTTGTGTGGCGTATTAATCAGTCACGGTCTGGTTGTGGACCAGTTTTCTGTCACGTTTTAAGTTCGTTTTAGTTGGTTTTAGGTCCCCTTCAAAAAAACCTATCTGAATAACTATCAAACAAACGGGAAACGCGATTGTTTCCTTTTTCAATGGGAGGCGCCCAACTTGTTTTGTCTGAATAAATATATCAGGAAAGTGGCGATCAATATCCACTGTAGGAAAAGATTGATGAGGAATTGCTGGTTTTGTTTCCAAATGTAGCGATAGTCTTTCTTGCCTCTTTATGCTGAATATTCTCAAGATTTTAAATGCATGTTCATTTCAAGTAACAATACGTGTATAGATATTAAATGGAATTGATGTTTGAGTTGATACGTAAATATAATAATTAATTCATCACTCCTGAATAGGAATTTTCGTTGTGTATCAAATTATCATTGGTTTTTATTATTTTTAATTCTGGAGGGAAAATAATAGCTTTGATCTGTAAGATTATACGTCGCACTGCAGTTTCAAGTGTGTGTGTGTGTGTGTGTGTGTGTGTGTGTTTTGTATTAGAGAAAAATCAAACATTCATATTCTGATAAACAAGTTGCATCAATCAAAAATTATCCCCGACAGACAAAACCTCCGCCGTAGAGAATAGCACTTGGAGTCGTTACACTAAACAACAGAAGTCGGAATAGAAGTTTTTTGAAACTTTTTAAGACCGAAATTTTCTGTAAGTATTAGTGGTATTACACGTAGTGGTCCTTAAAACTAAGGGGTTTTTGTTTGACATTTACATTTTAAATTGTCTTCTTCTTTTAAAAGAGTGAAGACAGACTGGTCTGAAGTTGCTTTGTGAAACGGGGTTCAGCACCTATCTATATTATATTTGAAATAGTGCTTAAGTGCAATCTACATGTTGATCAAATTGTAATAATAAAAAATTTTCACATAGGCCTACTTTTTAAAACTTCAATTGACAAAAACGGTGACAGCCACTTTGTGCGATATTTTCTCTGCTCGGAAGACGCCCATTGATTAGTGCAATGAAGGATCGATGGCGGCTATTGTTGCCGCGACATTTCGTGCAATCGTAGATGCTTTGTTTACTGCGTTGTACAATTTCCGAGTCAATAAAGTCAGCCTCAGCGTCAAAAGGAAAAAATCGTTCAGTTAAAAACAAAGACATCGCATAGTAACTGTGTGAACGATCATTTTCAGCTTTCGAAACATTTTCCGTACAACATCCATACAACATCCGTGTCCCAAATTAAAGCTAGAGGGTTCTAAGAGCTTTTTTGTTTGAATATAGTCATATATATATACGCCTTTTTTATAATTTGGGTTATGATTCATGAGGCATTAGCACTCCAAAACTAAAACAACATTACTTCCGAGTCAAAAGATCCTAGTCTGAACTAATGGCAATTTTTTAAGAAAGAAAATCCGGATTCTGAATAAAATGTCGTGTGTAACTACTCTATTTCGACATAATACGTGGTATACCCCAACATGTGCACCCACACACCAAACACATCTCTTGATCTAATTCCACGATTATAAAAATGTTAATGTTGACTCGGTCACGCATCAAAAATATCGTTGAACAATATTCATTTATTATATTTTCGTCACGTTTCTTTATAAAAGTGAACTTTAATACAAAACGAAACTAAAATACAGTATTGCCTTTGTCGCCGCATCTAGGAGTTAAAAAACGCGCACACGCACACTACTAAAAATAGTCTAAAAGAGACTCCTGCGAGTTTCTATAAAATGCATGACATATAGCCTAATTCGCGTCATATATAAAGTAGTGCATAGCACCGACATATTTGTGAGTAATGTGGCTTTGTTTCTCTTCAAGTGCCTGCTAGTCTCTCTGTATACATAAATTACTTCATAAATACTGAACCAGTTCAACAACTACAGGACGAAGAGTACATTTCCGTGAGCAATTCTGAAAAACTTGGAAACATTGCTGTAGGGGTTGCGACAGAAAGGGCGGACCCATTCCGTCTTCAAAATGTTCATGAAAATGATTTTGTTCTGCGTATTCAAGACTTCTGAGTGGAAGAGGACGATTGACCTTCATAACTGGCCTCCTTCGTCTTAATATACTTCAATGGTCGCAAAATAAATATAAACATACATATTCTTGAATAAATTACTGAACAATGGTTTATAAAAGTAAAACCACCACTGCAATCGCAGATACCAATATCCAATGGGTACATATTTGGTTGCCGTTTCCGACGTATTCGCTTCCTACGTATACGGTCCTGTTGAAGAGTTCTATGACATTGCCCAGCGTACTCAGACTGCACATATAATTTCCCTTGTCTGAGGAGCCTGAAAGGCGAAACAAACAAACAAAAAATCATGTAGTTATCTGTACTAATAAGTGCTTACCCACTGTTTACAGCTAGAGCAATAAAAATGCTTCATTTAAAGAAATACAGTGAGGTAAGACAAATGTCGTCATATAAAAAAGTAAATAGAAGGAAAATAAATGAAACTGATAAATGAAACTGATCTTTCTAACAGTTAAAAATTCAATTAAAAAAAAAACAACCACCTTAGAAGTGACCCCACACAACGAAGTCTCAACTAACACAATTCTAATTAAACCTACTTGGATCATATATAGTTATATAATTTTCATTGCCGCTCATTTCCAGTTTTCCCTTTTCGTCGCTGCTGGAAATCTCTCTGCCATCTTTGAACCAGCGCAGCATAGCGTAGGCCCAGTTTGGAATGCCGTACACATTGCACCGAATTTTCAAAGCCACTGTACCGTCAGGAATGGGAGACCCTACTTTCATGACTTCAGGTTTTACTGAAACAGGCAATTTTGCAATTATGATCTTGGGGCACCAATTAGTTAACAATTAACTTATCATCTATTTCCATATATTCAGACAACTGCTATTAGAAGTAATCTTTTCTGCTCACTCTTACCAGTGCGTAGATAAAACTGAATTTGATTTTACACATGTGTGACGAAGTTGTCTTTATCTTTTGCTGTTACACGGGATAGTAAATGCAACTCTTTTATATTTTTATTGTTAGTAATTGACAGCCATGAGTGAATAAGGAGCGGAGAGTGTTTTGTAAAGGAACTGAGATGGTTGACATGCTCTTGTAATACTTATGACTGTCAATTACTGACATTACACATCTAAGAAATAAATGAAGTAATAAAGGAATGCAATCAATATTACGTTTTATCTTATTTCAGAGAAGTAATACGTATATCGTTCTAGATATGCTACTTACTATCAATCACAGTCACTTTTCTAATAAACATATCTTCATATATATCTTTACATGAGTAACTCCCGGTTTGGTTGAGGTCGACATTTCTCCACTCCAGCTGGAGTTTCGTCCTGCCTTTGGGGTGGGTCGCGGGATACCCTTGGGTTGAAAGGACGGAAGGGTTTTCTTGTCCTACCCTGATGACCTCATTATCATGTAACCACTAGAATAATTGAAAAATATGCTAGCAAAACTATTACAGTCTACATTTCAGCAATTAAGTACAGAGGTCTCGATTTACACAATCGCAATACATAAGAGATTATTTAAACTTAAAAGACTTTCGGAGAATAAGCAAAAAAAAAAAAAGAGTCAAAATGTTTATATTTAAAATGACACTTAGATCTCCTTACCTCCAGAGTAAAATCGTTTTCTCTCCGGCTCCAGCACTCTAGGTCAAGGGTGTCCCCAGCCAGCAGATACCGTCTCCCAGACCCCGGGTTATTGCTCACACCTGTTATTGTGACTGAAATTTGAAATATTAACCCATTGTAGCCCTCGTCATCAAAACAAACGGCAGCCATACTGGAGGGAGACCGGAATCATCTGCTGCGCATGATCATGTCTACATGTACAATTTAGCATTTAATTTCTGTGTTTTCTTTGATATTAAACCAAGTAAAATGATGAATTACTGCAGGGTATATGATAGAGAGAAGATAAATAACTTAACAAGCGTTCACAGACTGCCTGCAGTGGTAACAATCCAAGGTGTAGGGACGAAAACCGTAAACGGAGGAGAGACTGAGGAGTGGCTTTGAATCGACTCATCGGACAAGTAAAGGATAAAACTAATTTATTTTACAGCAAAGAATGAAGACCCAGCTGTGCAGCCTTTACCATAAAAGAAAAAAGTAGAAAACCAATGACCGAGGTGTATAAGATATGAGCGCACGTACACTGCATATTAGTAGTGCCCAAAAAGTCTTGGTGGAGAGTGTGTTGTAAAAACGTGTGGAAAT